GTATTAAAAGCTCTATTGGCTCTATTGGCGAGTCTCCCCTGAGCCGTTTTTTTCCATATCTTTGGCCTGTGTGCGCTTTTATTTGAAATCTAAATGTTTTGGTACCGAGTATCGAGAGTATTGGATACATTTTAAATCGTTACCGAATATCGATCAATACTTGAAAGTATTGACTGAGCACATCACTACTGCTGTCTTCTCTACTATCACGTCACCAAAACAGCTGATTTTGTCAAAATCACTGAGAGCCGAGTAGGGGTATCGTCATCGGCGCCACCTCTGTATTCTCTCCACGGTGCCATCTATCTATGTACTCGTATAACCGGCTGCATGGTCGCAGCTGAATTTCTTCGGCATTACATAAAAGATAAGTTCTGAATGTAGTTTTTTCTTATTAAGGTTCTAATCAGTGTTGCCGCGAATCATTTTTAGTGATAGCCAAATTCCTTTAAAAAAAAGGGCTAAAAAAGAGCTACAAGTCGCTGTCGCTAAAAATGGTAGCGAAAATTTTTTACTTACATATATATACACGGTCAAATATTTGGGTTTGATTTTTTAACCGCGCTGGGACTACTGCCTTTCTTAGTCTNAAAAAAAAAGGGCTAAAAAAGAGCTACAAGTCGCTGTCGCTAAAAATGGTAGCGAAAATTTTTTACTTACATATATATACACGGTCAAATATTTGGGTTTGATTTTTTAACCGCGCTGGGACTACTGCCTTTCTTAGTCTTTTATGGTCTACTTTTTAAACCAGTCAATAGTTTTAAGCAATTTTTAATGTATTCTGGTTTAAATTTTAGTCCACAAAGTGCGTGGTTTAAAAATAAAACCTAAATGTTTTAATTCTAGTTTCTAGGTTTCATATATAGAAAATTTGGTTTAAAATCTAAACCGAAATAGAAAATGTTTTCACACAGCGAAATGTGGTGTTGATTCAAACTCAACCAGAGAACGTTTATAAACGTTCTAAAGGCTAAAACGGCAACACTGGTTCTAATTACGCCCTTCTACAATAATGAATATGAATATCTACTTTTTATTTACTTTATTTGCTTTACTATTACTTTATCATGGATAAAATTCTGAATTCTGCGAATCTGTTAATGGTACGAAAAAACGATGTATGGAAAGGTCATTAGAATAATAAGCAGCCATTACCATTGCGTCAACTTAAACTTCCTAACGATGTTTAGTAGCTGTCAAAAACTGTTCAAAGTTGTTCAGACGCTCCCGTTCGGACGTCCCGATTTTTTCCAATGGATGAAATTTTTTGTTTAAGAATTTAAACACACTCGTTTTTTAATGCAAATATGGGGTTTTAGTGTAAATAAATCTACATCTATATGAAGGTCTTTATTAACGTTCGTTTAAGTAATTTCTTCGTACAAGCAGACGTACATATCGATGCCTCCAAACCATACTATGCTAAGTCTGACTAAGTCTAAGCTGACTTAGCATATTATGATTTGGATGCGTCGGTATGTACTATATCTATATACTGTTATTCACAAAATTGAGTATATGATTTTGTTTTTTGTTAGTATTCGCAATGTTTTACATGCTAAATTTTTTTATTTTATTTTGTATTGAAATATGGCTTATATTTTAGCAAACCCCAATTAAATCCTAATATGAATCTGTCTACGAAAATTATGAATCTTTTTAAAAAGGATTTCTAAAAAAAATCCGGTATGCAGTTTTTTAGTCTATTCAGTTTTAGTATAATAATGTGCAACTTTCAAATGTAGAAACAATTCTCAAAAATAATCGCGAACTTTTAGACTTTTGAAATTTGCACATTATTATACTAAAACTGAATAGACTAAAAAACTACATAAATAATTTTTTAGAATTCTTGTTAAATAGTTTGCTTTGCAGATTTTTCATAATTTTCGTAGACAGATTCATATTTGGATTTAAATGGGGTTTGCTAGTACCAAATTAACAAAAAAATTTTGCAAATGCTAACAAAAAAAAAACCTTATAAATACTCAATTTTGTGAGTAGCAGTACCTACATAGACCAATATTTATGAACAAAAGCTATTTGAAGCGTTCGGACGTTCCGATTTTCAATAAACTTACAATCGATAATCCTATAGCTTTCCGAAAGAAATCTTGTGCGACTGGCAAGAGTATCCAAAACTAGCTTTTGTATTAAAATTTTGACAAATAAAGTAAACGTTACGACTCTTTTTTACTTTTAAAGTATATTTTACGTCCGAACGCTTGAAAAAAAGAACAATTTGTAATTTAACTTTAGACCGTTCACAATAAATTTTTACGTTGTGTTTGCTGTTAGGCTTACAGAACATAAGCCGTACTATATTTTCGTTATAGTTAGATTTCCAATTCTTTTTAATCGTGTGCCATAATTATGAAGGATTTCTGGAAGGTATGGTTTCTCCGAAAAAAAGAAAAATTGAAAGTATAGTTGGAAAGCTGTAAATATCTGGAAATCGAATAGACCAATTGGTCCAATATTTTGGTGGATAAAAGACAAAATGTGTAGCTATCGTTTGGCATATATAATATTTGTCCAAGCGAAATTCTATTTGTTTGGTCTTGGTTCACACTTTTCATTAAATACCCATATATTAGAAAGTCCTTTTTTGGCATGCTTAAAGTTCAAAAAAATATATCTCGGAAACTGTATGTGGTAAATGAAAATAAAATAGTACGAGTATCATATTTTTACTCAANCGGGTAATAAAATACCCGGGTACCCGGGTAGCTCATTACCCGGGTGAAATCATCAGCCCTAGTACCTACATAGACCAATATTTATGAACAAAAGCTATTTGAAGCGTTCGGACGTTCCGATTTTCAATAAACTTACAATCGATAATCCTATAGCTTTCCGAAAGAAATCTTGTGCGACTGGCAAGAGTATCCAAAACTAGCTTTTGTATTAAAATTTTGACAAATAAAGTAAACGTTACGACTCTTTTTTACTTTTAAAGTATATTTTACGTCCGAACGCTTGAAAAAAAGAACAATTTGTAATTTAGCTTTAGACCGTTCACAATAAATTTTTACGTTGTTTTTGCTGTTAGACTTACAGAACATAAGCCGTACTATATTTTCGTTATAGATTTCCAATTATTTTTAATCGTGTGCCATAATTATGAAGGATATCTGGAAATCGAATAGACCAATTGGTCCAATATTTTGGTGGATAAAAGACAAAATGTGTAGCTATCGTTTGGCATATATAATATTTGTCCAAGCGAAATTCTATTTGTTTGGTCTTGGTTCACACTTTTCATTAAATACCCATATATTAGAAAGTCCTTTTTTGGCATGCTTAAAGTTCAAAAAAATATATCTCGGAAACTGTATGTGGTAAATGAAAATAAAATAGTACGAGTATCATATTTTTACTCAAAGAATGCAAAGAAAAATAATTTAAGTGGAAAAAATTTTTTTAGTGTAAAGTTTGCATGGATTTCTTGTGTTATTCAACCAATGCATTAAAAATACGAATAATTGCAGTCATTAAAAAATTCATTTAGTCAAAATTTAGCAGTCTTGTTATATTTATTTCGTAGGCACTTCAAATTTACACAAAATTGATTTTACCTAACAGCAAAAGCTGAGGCCGTTTTATACTCTGTTGTATTTCTTCCTCATACGATTGACAGTCTTTTGTATTTGCTGACAAATGAAAAATTTTTATTTGAAACACATTAGCAGGTCACGTGGTATATATACATACAATACATCTTATTACATTAAACGAGCAGTTCTTTTATATATACATACATATATACTACTCGAAATAAGTTACAAATTAATGAAAACATATTTTTAATGAAAAATATTTTTAATAGGGTTGCCACCTATTTTGAATTGCATTTTCATTTAATTTTTTGTTTAGAAAATTATTATTTTTGTTTAATTCCAAAATATTTTTTTAAAGCTATCCAAATCTTAAAAAAAGTAGTGAAAAAGTATATGCACTCCGGGCAAAGCTCGGTCAAGCTGGTACTATGTATGTATGGATGAGCATCGTCTTTGGAAGTAACGCTTTCTCCATTCGAGTTTAAGTCGAGAGCATGTAATTTTTTTTTATAGTTTTTTTTTTAATTTCCAAAGAAATCCTGATAGATAACGGATCCACAGACTGTCTAAAAAATAGCAATCAACTTAAAATATGAAATACAAATGTTAATTGCCACCCTTCACATGAAACTAACTAAGCAAACAACAAAAGAATGTCACGCAAGTGAATAGAAAAGCGAAAAAAATACAATACACAAAATTTGGCTTCATTAGATGTACGGCTACAAAATTTGTATTGTCCCTTTGCATTGTCCTTTTACACATGCAAGAAATGTAATTGTAGCAGTCTGTTTTTATCTTTGCAAAATTAGAAAAAATGTCACAATAAACACAGTACTTTTTTTTTTTAAATTCCCTGAAAATTGGCAAAGAATAAAAATGTATGAATGCGTCTCGTAAATCGAAAGAAGTGGGAAAACTGTCTGAGACCATATTTAAAAATATTTGCCAAGGCGATCGGAAGGAAGCTACGCAGCAATGTCTTGTCTTAGCAAATTAATTGAAATTTCACATAAATGGAAGAGAAAAGCACAAAAGAGAAAGAATAAAAAAAAGTAAAGGATGTCCGCCGTAAGTTAACTTTTTAGGGACTCCGGACACCGTAGATGAGCCATGTCCCAGCTGTATTTAGTAAGAAAAAACGTGTATTTGTTTTGAACGTATTTATTTTTTTTTATTGTACATACTTTCTATTGTCTTTTCAGCTCAAATTTCATCTTAAGACAAACGCGCGCCCGCACACTTAAAACTACGCTCCCCGCAATGGGAATGAGTGCTAGGTTGGCCGGTGGGGGGCAGTGCGAGCAACTCGCAGTCATGGTTACACAACCAACATTGGGCAAAAGGCAGATGAAGACGCTGCCGGCAAAAGGAAGTCCAATGAAATTATTGTAGAAATGTTGACGTATGGAATGCTGGCTGGGAGGTGAAATACGAGCAGCAGCAGCAAAGAAAGCAGAATTCCGCCAAGTATCTTGTGAAGGAAATGAGCATGTTGATGACGAAAATCATGGTAGCAGGTGGGTATGGTCTGAGGCAGTGGCGCTATTGCTGGGGAAAATTAACGAAAAATACTTTGGCAACAATATAAATGAATATACCCAACAACGACAGGTTGACAACAACAACAACAGCACTAGTATTTACATAGCTACAACAACGATAGCAACAACAACAACAACAGCAACTATCCGCCCATCAGCCAAATGAATGGGAGACAAAGAATAATTGCAGTCGCCATGAACTTCGCGCTGCGCGAAAGAAGTCATTACTAACTGGCGCGTAAGTAAGCTGAGCTGCAGGACGATGCCTCATATTCTTAGCGAATATGCACGTATTTGAATAAGCTTCATGTGCATACTTTTGTACGTAAATACATATGTATGTATAGATATGTATGAACGTACAACAACTTCAATAAGCCGCTGCTTAGCGCACAATTGGACTGTGCGTCCATCTTAACTTTTCGATTGGGATGCATCCTTCGAGGAATTGTAGTTTGCAAGTTTACTTTTCATTTGGCTTATTCGCATTTTTTTTAGTTTTGTACTTTAAATTACCCCGTATAATTATTGTATTACTATTTGCATCGCTCAAATGCAGTGATATGTACATTAGGGTGGTCCAAAATAAGTAAAGTCATAATTTAAATGCTCTCACCCCCTAGGAATATTCTATATCGAAAAATTATACCCCTATATTTTATCTTCAAATCAAAAAAAATATATAGAGGTCGCTAAAAGAGCTCAAAGTTTTCCGTGTATTTTATATGAAAACAAGTAAGAAAGTGTAAGTTCAAGCATTTCTGAAATTAACCGTTATATGAAAAGCTCCGTAATTTTAGTCCGATTTCGATAATTTTCTACGTTTTGCTTTTATGTGGCAAGCACAATAACCATACCAAGTTTGGTATAAATTGGTAGATCGGTTACCGAGATACATATATGTGACCATAAGTGGGCGGTGCCACGCCCATTTTCCAAAATTTTATCATAAACGTATTTTTTGGTAAAGAATTGTTGCAAGCATCAATTTTGAATAAATTAGCTTTAATATTTACTGATTCATCGAAGATTTCGTATTTCTCTAAATTACCCTTATATGGAATATGGGCGTGGTTATTGTCCGATTTTAAAAATTTTCGGCCATTTGGTATGCTGTACCAAAGCCAACAACTGTGCTAAGTGTGGAAGAAATCGGCGCAGCGGTTGCCAAGAACACCCGAAGGAAGTATAGGTACCAAGTTTCGTTAAGAAATCTTAATTTTTACTCGAGTTATCTTGTGCACAGACGGACGGACGGACGGACAGACAGTCACCGCTTAATCGATTTTTCTTTTCATTCTGATCACTTATGTATACATTATCTATCTCGATTCGTTTTGCCTGTTACAAACAACCGTTATGTGAACAAAGTTATAATACCCTTGTGCACAAGCGCGCTCGGTTATAAAAATAGGGGTATATTTTTTCGGTATCGAACAATCCTAGGGGGTGAGAGCATAAAAACTCCGACTTAAATTTTTCACATGCATTTTTGGACCACCCTAATGTACATACACTGTATTTTACACAGTTGTACAGAGATCCTAATGAGTTTGCTTTGAACTTTTGGTGAGAAATGTTGCTCGTAATTTTTAAATGCATGTACAATGTGTACAAGTGTTGGGTCTTTGAGTTTAGTTAGATGGTAGTTAATTTTAGACCAACGCCGAGGCCCAAAAAGTGGTCTAATTTTTTCCTCTACCTTTGCGAAATTAGGGATAAAATATCTTTACAGATTTTCTAAGGAAGGAGCGTGTATTCTCTGAAGTTACGCGACCAGTGGTGCCCCCCACAAAAAATAATAATTTTCGTCCACTTGAAAAAAATCGACCAAATCTGTAGAAAATCGACCAATAATTTTTATAGTTATTTCAATAAAAAAACTATGGTTCTTTTTTAATTTTTAGTTATTTCAATAAAAAATTAAAATTTTAACATAACCAATATAAATCAAACTTTTAAAATCTATACGACATTTAGAAAAATTCATAAAATTTTCATAAAACTTTTGACTTTTCTTCTCTGACTTTTTAGAAACCTGCTTGCTTTTTAGAAAACTGCATATTTCTACCCCGTGCAATTTTAGTATAACTAATAATGTGCAGCTAAGAATTCCTGAGCAAGCTGTGTTCGCATTTTATCGATATACATATGACATTGTTTGAAAAGGAATTGATAATATAAAGATAACTATATACTGTATAAAAAACTTTGCCTTCTTCCTTGTATTCTTACAAAGACACTAAACTCAGCGCCACACTATTGTGATTTCTACTACGCCTCAAAGTATTCCGCTACAAAAAAATTAAATTTGTGTACATTGCCTTAGAACTTAAAATCCATTTTTTGGCATATTTTCAGGCGCAGTAGAAATCACAATAGTGATGCGCTGAGTTAAGTAACTTTGTAAAAATAGGGGCGTTAATCTATGCAAATCTTTTAATTAAACTGTTGCTTAGCATTTTTTAATTCAGTGTCAATATTAAAGCATAAATTTAGGAGGAATTCCCTTTTTAGCTATGTGTATAACCAGGGACGTGAACCGGATGAAAAATTTGTTTGGTTCGGTTCAGCGGGTCGAACCGTTTTTGCACTTTTGGATTGGTTCGTCAAAGCGGGTTTTTTGGTCTTTGAACCGGGGTTCAACGGTTCGGTTTAACGGTTCGAAAAACAAAAAAATTACGCGCAAGTTTAAGTGTCAAGTGTCAAGTGCAACAACGCGCAAGGTTAAGGGTCAAGTGTCTGTCAAATGAGATGGATTGCCTTTACATTTGATATTATCACATGGTAAACAAACATGATGGGTATTACCATGTTTACCAAAAAGAAAAAAAAGTGGGTACATTTATCTATTGAAAATTGGTTGAAACGAACCTTTCAATCTTTATAGAAAGTGGTCGGTTTTCGGTTCGGATCAAACATCTGTGGAAAATTTCGGTTCGGTTAATGGTTCAGTTAATTAATAGAAAAGAGCGGTTTTCCGGTTCAAAAGCAGTTCGATTCAAAACCGGTTCACGTCCCTGTGTATAACATTTGTATTAGTGTCAATTATGAATTGATTTTTTCGCTTTATTTAAAGCTAATTTGATATTTGAGTAATTTTCTGCAGATTGTACCTTAGAAGTATTATTTAGCTTTAAAAGGGGTGTAAAGAAAACTTGACTGAGTGGAGGATCAACCTATCTCGGCAGCCAGTTCGAAAAGCCCTATCTCAGAAAAGTTTTCAACAACGCTCTATTCCAGAAATCTTAACAAAATGCCCTACTTCAGAATTTGATTGAAAAACGCCCCATCTCAGAATTTGGTTGAAGAACGCCCTATCTCAACTTATTTTCAATGTATTTTCGTTTGATATACGGCGTTTTTGAACCGACTTCTGAGATGGAGCGTTATTCAGCCAAGTACTGAGATACTGTGTTTTTCAATCAAATTCTGCAGTAGGCCGTTCGTGAAAAGTTTTCTGAGATAGAGCGTCTTTGAACTGGCTGCCGAGATAGGTCGATCTTCCATTCAGCCATCGATATTTAAATACATATAAGACAAGAGATAAATATTGGTATTTTTTCATATAAGTAATCGTATCTGCACTCCTATTCGTTTTCGTAATATAATATCGTTTTCTTATTCATAATTGTATTTGCATCCGTTATCATATTTGGTTTTGGATTTGCATTCGCATTCATATTCTTAACCATATTTCCAAGTCGTAATTTTAGTCGTATTCGTAAACGCACTCGTAATCGTAATCATAGGCGTTTTAAGGTCTGAAGCGGAGTATTCTGAACTGTAGAGAAATTTTAAAGAATTCGTAAAGATCTCATCCGATTTTTTGCCGAATTTTCTAAAATGATATAAACTGTGCACACTTCGATTCTTTTACGATATTTCGGAAGAAAATCGGTAAAGCAATGAAAATAATGCTGCGTTGTGCGGAATTTCTTGCACATTTTTTTCAGAATTTCGTGTCAACCACTTCATATAATTTTCTTTGAAAAAATCGTTTCTGAAATGAGATAATCCTAATTTCGTTAGGATTTCGGGAACTGTGGTTTGCAGGGTAATTAATATAATATCGTTTACCAAAAGCATTCTATTTACTAAAAAAAAATAATCCTTCCTCATTGCCTTTTTAGCATTTGTACGATGAGGGAAGTGAGAAGGTATAATTTATCGACAGAAAAGAAAACACCATAGTACAGTTGAAGAATAAATTGGGGAAGCTAAAAGTATATTGGATTACAGAGTTAGGCACTCCGCACATTACGCGCCTAATCACAGTAGAATAATCGTTTTGTTATGTCAAAACGAATGCATGACGACTCGACTTCTGCACACTTGGGCGCCCTGCGTAAGCCCTGTTTGCGCGCACATTACACATTTTCTGGCCGGTCTTTCTCACTAATACACTTCCGCGAACATTTCTGCAATAAAATATAGCATACACGTTTATAGCTTAATACAATTGGCATGAGTTTTAGCACAAAATTATTAATTTTCAATTATTTCCTACTGAAATGACAAATAATTTTTATTTCGAACACAAAAAAGTAAACAAATGCCGATATCAAAATGGCAAGCGCCTTACAATGTTGGGCGCTTCGATTCATGAAGTTTCTATGATTAGGCGAAAACATGACTATGAATCGTAATATACAGAGCATCATTGAATACATGTGTTCGGTATAAAAGCTTCATACTTTAGTTCGCCGGAACGATTACACTACTATGACTAGGCGTTTAATGTGCGGAGTGCCTTAGGGACTTCATACTCGGTTTAAAAAAGATCTTCTAAGTAGCAATGTCCCTTTATCTTTTTTGAATTGTGTACAGCTATTACTTTTTACCACACCTCGCTTAGTCCTAACTCTTTTCGGAAGTCCAATAATTTATTTGGTGAATCGTGGTGAGATGGGGCATAATCGTTATTTTGGGTTTGCGTACCATTAGCGCAATAAGGGTAATGTAAGAAAACCATGTGCTAAATGCGGTAACCAATCCGAGTTGTCACGACGATAGAGAGGGAGATTCGGTGGAGCTACTTCGACTTATTCGATACGGTAGCGTTTATATACCTGTGTTCGGTTAAAAACTATCGCTGAAATGAGTTGGAACTGCTCTTATCGTAGATACTGTGTGAAAGACCAAAGCTCTTCATGAACCAACCAGATTTTCGCAGTTCCTCTATTCCTGAAGAAGAAAATCGAAAGACACCACATTTTTGTCGATCTCGAAGTCGCT